ATTAGAAAATCCGCAATTAGTGATGATCATTAGTAACCCTAACTATATGATTTTAATAGGCCGTTGAACACCCTAGCTACACGTGCTCATTTGCTAAATTACCGTTATTCGATTTTCGCTAATAACACGTGAACTTAAACTGACATTAGGGTTAGGGTTAGAGCTGGGGTAAGGCAAACCGTGTGGTAAATTTAGCAAGGAATTTTTTTAATTAGAACATAAAAGGCAATTTAATAAGCAAACTTTTGCGTTACCGGTGATTTTCGAAAAAGCCTGCTACACCTGATCTTGTGATCCCCCCCGAATGAGCGTATATAAAAATATATAGTAAATTGTGACTATAGCCAAAAATGCCATTTCATGTACTGTAAACAATAGTTTGTTTACATTAGTCGACAAAACATTTTCTAGCAATATCTTGGCATTTACTAATCAGATTTTAATGATCTTACTACCATTAGAATCAGAAAATGATGCTCTGCAAAGTTTACTTAGAAATTGAAGATATATTTACTTAGTAGAAAGATGACTTTACATTGTCGTGAAGTGGCATTTGTGGCTTAGCAATTTTATATAGTAAATATAGATCTGCGCGTCAAAATTTACTATCGCTATGCAATTAAAGAAGCCAGATGAAAACTCGTATTAGCATTTTCACGGACTAAGTTACGCAAGTTTTGTCCATAACAGTGCTCATCCTTATTTTAATCGGAAATAAATCTGCAAACTCCGTCAATAATGATATCTCTAGTTTTGTTGCACGTATGGGAATTAGTTCTATATTTCTATTCAAATTTCTGTAATAAGAAGCTCATATGTCATTTATTAAATACTATTACTTTATCTTATACGATTTAAGATAATTTCATGTATAGAAGATTTTCTATAAAAATACAGTATCAAAGATATCTAAAAAAATTTTTTTTTTTTTTTTTTATTATCCTTTGCGATTGCGTTAAGAACGAAAAAAATGATTTATGACTTATTCGGATCGCGCAAGGATGAGCCACCAACAGTTTTATACCTTCGACGTCTTATAACTGTTATATTGCTATTATTGCTAATAGCGCTGTTTATAATATTATGTATTGAAGTGTATAATGACATACCTAGCATTAAAACCACACAAAAACCCAATGATCGTATAAACACTCCAAGTAAGAGAAAGTCTTTATTTTCATGAAATAATAATAATCCAGTGGCGTATCAATATTGAATCAATTAATAAATCAATGTAGACATTCATTTTGCATTTGATGTACCTATTGCTGTCTCATGTTTACAATATTCAGATCAACAAAACTCTTCATGTAATTATCGGTTTTTATCCGTATTGAATTAAGTTATAATTATTGCTACGTATATTTATCTAACTTAAATCTTTCAAAAGCTTGGTGTAATAATTCTATTACTCAGCTTCAAAATTATACAGATTATAATTTAATATCATTTATACCAAGTAGACAAGCTAGTCAAATCAATATTCGTGATTATATAAGATTAACTATAACTTTCGAGTCTGGCATGACCAGTCTCAATAGTCCCATCAATGAGCCCATGCAGATGTTTGCATTTGATCCAGGTAAAAAAAATCCTCGTACATTTTTGAAATTTGAAATTTGCAATTTGCAATTTGAATAATTTTATAATATATAATTAATTAGGATATGATCCAATACAAAACACTTACGATCTGAATCAATTTCCTTACAATGAAACATTCCTCCAATCAATTAATAGCATATCGTATTTCATGTCACAAAATAGTGTACGTATGTATGTCAATTTTATCTTGTTAGAAAACAAATTTACAATCTCTAATAAAAAATACCTATAGTATTATGCGTTTATATTCTCTAAAAAAGTCAGGAAATTGCAGAATTTATACACCTTCAGTCAATATATTGGTCTTGAATCAACTCCATATCCGATACCTTATGTTGAGGGAACTATACGTAAAAAAATCTACACAAATTTTTTTAAAGTGTATTTGATTATGTTTTAACTTTTATAATGGTATTAATACTTTTTCAGAACAAGTTACATATCAAAATGCTTCAGCCAATATACCAAATTTTTATGCAGTAATTAGTCTTAAACTACAATCTACTATTACAGAAGAGGAAACAGAGCAAAGGTACATAGTAATCAAAAAATAAAAGAAAATTATTTTAAGTGATTATTTGTTCTAACATAATTGATCATATTTTACAAATAATAGAAATAAAACTGTATGAGTTAAACTTTTAATACTAGATCTTTTTGAAAAGGTTCTATATGCATAACTAATATTGTTGTCATTTAAAAGGTTATAACCATTCTTGGAGTCATTGCTGGTATTTATGGTGGTTTATTTGGTCTTTATACATTCTTATTTGGTAAGTTAATCCGTTATTATTATTATTATTATTATTATTATTCTTATTCTTATTTTCATTTTTATTCTTATTTTTTTTTTATCTATTAAATAATTTAGGAACTGATTTAATTAGACCATGGGGCTTCGTACATTATGGATGTCGTGGATTAAGAAAAAAAACTGCAGAAAGCCTCTTGCCATTAGTGGATAATTCTCTATCAAATAATAAAGAACCGGCTCAAACGAGGCTTGAGAGTTTAGGAAAACTTTCAATTGAACAAAGAGTTGAAATTCTAGAAAAAGCTATATTATTATTTAAAGATAATATTTTTGACACTAAATTATTAGATTCCATTGTCAATAAAAAGGATAAGCATGTCGATCCAAAACAATAGTATGGTATAATATATATTTTAATAAATTCTTTTATTATACAACTTTGTTAATATTAATATTAAAAACATTTTCTAATTTGTAGACTCAAACTCAATAACGATAATTCAAAATATTTGATTTTAAATCTTTTTTTTTTTTTTTTCAAGCATTAATTATTTCAGTTTAGTTTCTTATGTTTATCATTATTATATTAATTTTACTTATTAAAGCAGCTTAGCATAAATGTAGATATCGACCCTCTTTAGAGTTGGACTCAAAACGAAACCTACCCGAAACTAGTTTCGGAAAGGTACTAATCCGAAACTAGTTTCGGATTTTT